TCTGGGCCCTGAGTCTCTGTCTGGCTTTTTTGATCAATTATTATAAGTAGTTTGTGATCTGGGGCTAGAAATTTGTCTTTCTCTGGATCCTGTTTTTCCTTCCTCTGCCCTCTAAAATAAACACTCCTCCTTTGACATTCCTTTGAAACTTTGACCTGTACTATAGACCATAATTGTTAGCCTTTTTCTTTGAGTACCCCCTAGCGAAGCAGGATTCTGCCCTCCCAAGTCAGCAGGAGTCAGGCTATCTTGCTTTATCATTCTAAGGAAGGTCTTTGCAAGTCAAAAGTTAGGTTTCTCCATTCTGGAGAAGGGCTGAGAAATTTAACTCTTCGGCTTGCCCAGGAGAGAGGAAGAGGGCACCTTTCGCTGCATATGAATGGTAGTCATTCTGCAAAGCTGTCAGGACGGTTAAGAATGTCACCAGAGATTCCCTGGGCTCCCAGAGCTTCAGTGGTGTCGAGAAAGAGTACAGATGTGGGTGATAGCAGCCTGAATTCAAATCCACCTTCTTGTGTTTAATTTCGGGTTGGGTGCTTAATTTACCTAAGCCACGGTTTCCTCAATAATAAGAGGGGAATAATTGCGTAACTTTAATTGGATTGTTCCCAGGATTGAAGCGTATAATATATATTAAGCACTTGGCACTTAGTAGGTGCTCCATTACTTCCTTTTCCCCCTTGCTGTTACAACTGCCCATTGGCAAGCCCTGAGGAGAACGGCAGGGGCCCACAGGAGCTCTAGGAACAGACCTCACAGTTTTCTTGGGAGTCCCTAATTCTACTCATGGCAAAGGTCAGCTGGAAGGAGGAGGAGGGGGAGGAGAAAAAGCTTTGGAGGGGCCTGGCAAGCAGAAGCATATTTTTCTCTTAATCTAGACTCAGAAAGTACAGGCTTCTATTCTCCAGGCCATGTGAAGAAGTGCCTGCATCTGAAATACGTGGATTGCCTCATGGACAGGTTTCCCTCATTGAGTTGATTCTTTTTTCAACAGGTTTTCAGGATCCACCAGAGATTGTGGCCAGTCTGCCTGTCTTGGGCCCTGAACCTATTGAATATAGGAGTTTTACTGTTCTGTCACCTTAATTATAGCCAGTTTGTTAAGGATGAGCCAAAAGGGAAGGAGGGTGGGGTTGTAACTAGTGAATCTGAGTAACACTGCAATGCCTTGGAATGAATCCTTGACAGGAAGGTGATGGATGTAGAGAGATCTAAATTCCTTTAGTTTCTTGGCTCAGGGTCTATGTAGGAAGGTTTGTTGATGTGATTGATTCCCATGAAGGTAAGATCAGTGAGGATGAGAGAGACTTGGAAGGAGTGGGACTAGGAGCTTTTTGGGGTAGTAGGAATTCTTTTCATGGAATTCCCAATTGCTCTGGGTTTCATTAGTTGAAAACCTCAGATATAAACCCACAGAAGACGTAAGGCATGCTCTTCTTGAATGATCATGTTTGTACAGGGCAGCAGGGATAGTTTTGTTTCTGAAAATCCCCCCTAGGATTACTTGGGAATGTGGGCAAGGTCTGGGGGTTGGGGGGGTGTCAAAGTGTCAAGTACCTGGGTCCTTTGGATGGGGATTCGGTTAGGAATGAAGGGAGAAAATCTAGTTTGTTCATTTCCTTAGCACAGTGTCACAACTCAGGTTTCATGATGGGTACTTTGGCATCTTTGTCTACTGGAGGATTGACTTCAAGGCCACATCATTTTATGATTTTTTTTCTCTCTGAGCCCCAGGTTAATAATCTTTTCTTTTGGTTGCCTATTTCTTCTTCTTCTTCAAGATTTTATTTATTTATTTGAGAGAAAGAGAGAACATGAGTGGGGTGAGGGGCAGAGGGAGAAGCAGACTTCCTGCTGAGCAGGGAGCCCCAGACTCGATCCTGGGACTCCAGGATCATGACCTGAGCCGAAGGCAGAGGCTTAACCCACTAAGCCATCCAGGCGCCCCATTGGTTGCCTATTTCTTCACCATAATTCTTGTGCTTAGGTAGTGTCCCGTTCCCCTTTCCACTACCACCACACACAGACACTTTCTCTGTCACTAACTGTCTCTCTGTAAACTTTCTTAGGAGATAGGTAGAGGAAATCTTCCATTTCTTTGACATAGGCTGCACTTTAATGGATTTCTCCTTGTCTCTGGCATCTGTGAGAGTTATAAATGCACCAGAAGGAATAGAGACCACAGTGAGCTTTCAAGGTACCTGCTTATGGTTTCTCTTGAGATGTCATCTTCCTTAATGAATATTTCACCTTCCTTTTCACTAAAAAAAAAAGAGGGGTTATTTCCTGTTGGCATTTTAAAAAAATAACTCTTTTTTCTAAAAGTATTTTATGACAAGTATTTTTTTAATTTTTATTCATTTATTTTTTAAAAAGATTTTATTTATCCATTTGAGAGAGTGGGGGGGGGCAGGCAGAGGGAGAGAGAGAAGCAGGCTCCCCACTCAGCAGGGATCACAGTGCAGGGCTCCATCCCAGGACCCTGGGATCATGACCTGAGCTGAAGGCAGATGCCACCCAGGCGCCCCTATCTATCTATCTATCTAACTATCTATCTATCTATCTTTCTATCTATCTATGTATTTATTTATTTATTTATTTTTAAGGGGGTTCGAACTCACAACCCTGAGATCAAGAGTCACATGCTCTACTGACTGAGCCAGCCAGGTACCCCAGTTACTCATTCTTTTTGGTAAGAAAAAAATTTGTTTATTGTAGAGAAATGTAAAAATACAGAAAAACACAAAAAGGAAAACAAATTACTGTATTTTATTACATGACAGCAAATGTTTTCATATTTTCTTTTTTCTTTTTTTTTTAAAGATTTTATTTATTTATTTGACAGAGAGAGACACAGCGAGAGAGGGAACACAAGCAGGGGGAGTGGGAGAGGGAGAAGCAGGTTTCCCACGGAGCAGGGAGCCCGATGCGGGGCTCGATCCCGGGACCCTGGGATCATGACCTGAGCTGAAGGCAGACGCTTAACAACTAAGCCACCCAGGCGCCCCTCATATTTTCTTAAGTAAGCTATGTGCCCAATGTGGGGCTTAAACTCACGACCCTGAGATCAAGAGTGACATGACTTAGCCAGTAGATGCCCCAGTATTTTCCTGTTTTAAAAAACAAAATTGGGTTTTCCTGAACATGCTGTTTTTGTAATTAACTTTATTCACTTAATATATCATGTATGTTTTTCACGTTGCTAAGTGTTTCTCCAGGATATTATTTTAATGGTTGATATTCCATTGTGGGGCCGTGATTCAACTAGTTTGCCCTATTGTTGAACATTTAAATTGTTTTATAATTTAAAACGTTAGGCTGAAAGTGTTTCCCCACTCTTGGTGATCAGTCGTTTTACTTGTTTATTCAACATATCTGAAATACCTCCTCCCTGCAGGGTGCGTGGCCTTTGCACAGATGGGAGACTCCCAAAGCTGGGATGCTCAGATTTAGGAGACCAGTTGTTGAGCTCCCAGGGGCTCCCCACCCCAAGATTGCCAGTGGAAGATGTAGAAGTGCAAATGAGGAAGGTAGAATCCACAACTTTCCTAGTCTCTTGCCCAGGTTCTCCCCGAGGCATACAGACACCCCGGGAAGCCCAAGTTAAGAGAGCAAACACACTTTGAATATGGTTCAAGTTCAAAGGGCTTCCTTGTCCCTCAAGTTTCTTTGGTTGCATTAAAATAACACCTTCTAAATCTGGGAGTCTGGATTGTTTTCCTACTGGCCAGTTCCTGATTCTCAATTATATTATCTCTCAAACACTTATATCAAGGGGGTTGGATATTTCCAGTTTTTCCCTTAGCCTTGTGCATAATTGGAATATACAAGCAGAGTTTCCCATTCCCTTTCTTAAACTAAGGTTTCCCTTTAAAGAGAGAAATAAAAGGTCTCAGGTGGATATATATTCTAGCATTTATTGCAAAACACAGTTGAGTTCCCAATCTGGGAAAATAACAAGACAGAGTCATTTTACGGCTCTTTGGGGGAAAAAAAAATCCCTCTATGGGCGGGGTGGTGGAGGGGAGCCTTTTGTGATAAGTTGGGGTCACCTGCCCACCTACTATGACCATTCTTTTTCCATGGTTACAGAGGTGGTTTCTGAGATGGGAAAGTCCTCAGCTTATGTTGGGTCCTAGTTTCCCCAGCGTTTTGTGGGGGAGAACTTTTTGTTTTCTTTTAGGTAAGCTCTGCACCCAGTGTGGGGCTTGAACCCACAACCCCAAGATCAAGAATCACATGCTCTACCAGCTGAGCCAGTCAGGCGCCCCAAGAACTTTTTATTTTTTTAAGATTTTATTTATTTATTCATGAGAGACAGAGAGAGAGAGGCAGAGGGAGAAGCAGGCTCCCCACTGAGCAGGGAGCCCGATGCGGGACTCGATCCCAGGATCCCCTGGGATCATGACCTGAGCCAAAGGCAGACGCTTAACCATCTGAGCCACCCAGGCGCCCGCCCCAAGAACTTTTTAAAAGTGCATACTCAGACGAAAAGCCCAACACCCTAAAAAACCTCCCACTAGGTAGGTCTGTGGTCTCTGCCCCACTTATATGCATGAACATATAGTTGGTCTTGCTTGAGCTAGCCAGCATCGGGGAAGGTTGCTCCTTCAAAAGTCCGGACTGAACTCTTAGTTTTTTGCTTCCATTCCCTCTGAAACTTACAGTGACAAGTACTTTGAGGGTCCCTCTGGATAAGACCCCCAAACCAAACTCCCCTCTAGCAAGCTGCAAAAGGCCAGGCGCAAAGACCAGGAAATAACGTGCAGGAGAGAGGAGACGGGGTCTGCCCACGTTGGAAGGCCGGGCTCCAATTTCAACTCTGTCGAGAATACGCTGTATAAGCTTGGGCCTCCGTTTCCCCCGCGAATTGATATGAAGAGGGCTACAGCCCAACCCAGTGATTTTCCAGTTGTTTTCGAATTCACTGTCTCTGAGAGAGAAACCGTGCCCGCCTCCTTTGTCATGCAGCTGAGCAAGTGATTCTGCGCGGGGTGCTGTCAGGCCCTGGCTCCGCCCCCGGACCACGCGCTGCCTGGGGGGCGTGAGCAGTAGTACTTGTTCACCACGTGCCTGCACTGCTCACACCGGACCGTACAGCACCACTGGAATTTGCAGTTGCAGCTGCTGAGAGCCTCGGCTCTTCTCTCCTCCACCTGCAGGCCACACTCGGTGCACAAGCGCCCGCAGCTGCGTTGCTCCCACCGAGATGCGTTGTGGTTCTGCAGACACTCCCGACCTTCTGTGCCAGAGACGCCCAGGCTGGAGTTGCGGGTACAGTAGTCTGGCGATTCCTCTAAAAAGATCAGCTCAGCCTCTGCACTGGGAAGGAAGGCCTCCGTGGGTGCCCAGCGGCCCTCAGCGCTGTTGCCCGCCCTCAGCTGCCGCTTATCCATCTCAATTTTCAGGGCCCGGTCATACTTGGCCTTCAAGTAGTCCCCCATCTCCCGGAAGTCAGCCAGCTGCAGCCAGCATGTCTGGATGCTGCAACTCCCAGAGATGCCATGGCATTTGCAGGTCCTTCTCATGATGGCTCTCACTGCCTTCAGAGAGAAAGAGAGGATTCTGGGTAGAGAAGACCGAAGGCTAGCAACCAAATGGGATATTTTTTTTTTAAGATTTTATTTATTTGACAGCGAGAGAGGGAACACAAGCAGGGGGAGTGGGAGAGGGAGAAGCAGGCCTCCCGCTGAGCAGGGAGCCCCATGTGGGACTCGATCCCAGGACTCTGGGATCATGACCCGAGCCGAAGGCAGATGCCTAACGACTGAGCCACCCAGGCGCCCCAAATGGGATATTTTAAAGTTGTGCTGCTTAACTTTGGAGGAACATCAGAATTATGGGGGAGGCCTGTGAAAAACGCTATTCCTGGACCCCACCTCAGATCTTCTCAGTTGGAGTGTTCAGGGGTGGAAAGGCCTTGGTAAGGGTACTTTTAAAGCGCCCTTGGGTATTCTTTGGGGAAATCAGGCAAGTGTTGAGGAATCAGGAAACCTAGGCTCTAGGCCCAACTCCATCACTTGTTGAGCTTGTTTCCCTCTCTCATTGGAATAAGAATGATCAAGAGGGTACTGTGTCAATTAAAGAAGAAGATATGATCATTGGCACTATTATTGTTTTCAAGGTAGGGGCTAGAGTATTGGTGAGGGTTTGGATTTGTTCTCTCCCAGAGGGAAGGGAGCTCATGCAGTCTGAACCCCTACCGCTGAAGCAATTACTCAGGTGTGTAATTGCCTTGAAAACCTCTTCCCATTGCTCTGGGCAACCAGGTCGTCTGGGTATAGGTTCAAAGGGAAATTTTTATGCTCTTAGCTTTAAATCCAACTTGCTTCCAGATTTGAGTTCAGAACACTCCAGAAGTCTTGGGGGGAAAATAGACCCTCCAGAGAAGCCTAGATCAGTCCCAATCCCTCGAAGTCCAGACAGATCTTAGGCTACAGGTTAGCTGATAACCCCCCATTAATTTCCTAGAACACAGTTGAAGTGGTTAAAATTTTAAATCATGAGAGCAAGGCTTTGGTACTGTATTGTTCTGTGTTCTCAGAAACCTGCCTGTGGAAGGGGCTAGACCATAATGATTAGTAATAAGAGTAAAGTAGAAGATCTGAGTTTATTGCCTGATTCTGATGCTTATAAGCTGTATTGCCTTGGCCAAGCCACTTGGCTCAGCCTGAACTGGCTTTGTCATCCAGAGAATGGGGGTAGCCATCCCAGTCTTGATAGGTGGTGTAAGGATGACACATGGGTATGAGGCAGCTCTTGTTAAGTTGCAAGGGCTGTACAGATGTGAGGCTTTTGCCAGTACTGATCCTGATGGTTCGCTCGTGGACTCCTATACCTACCAGCCTGCCTGCCCTGTTGTTGTGAAGATTCATCAGGGCTCTAGCATCCTTTCCCTTTTCCAGGCTGTCCACAAAGAGTTTGGAGATCCTTTCCCCAAATTCCACATTGTCACTGCAGCCTCCCCAGATCCAGCCATGACCTCCTGCACATAAGGAAAGAGTAAGTTCTGCACACCATTTCCCTGCTAAGTTTCAGGAGAAGAGTCAAGGTCACTTTGGCTAACATAGCCAAACCATCCCCCAAGAGCTCTAGAAGCGTATAAAGCTGCAGGTGAGACCAGGAAGTAGAGGAGCTCAGGGTGGGTGGGTGAGGTCCTTTTCACAAAACCAACTGCCCACCATTCAGGTAAATTCCATCTCTAGGCAATTAGTCTCTATACCCTCAGTAAATGTAGCCATACTAAGCCTGGCCTAGATGATCTTAGAGGTTCATTGCAGCTCAAACATTCTGGAATTCTGCACCATTACCCTACAGTAGTCTTGTTAGAGCCATCTCCTCCCTCTTTAATGACAAATCTGAGTCTCTTAGATGGTCTACAAATAACTGAGTAGCTTTGGATTGTGGCCAAGCCGTTCTCGGCCTGAAATATGAGGGTTAGCTTTAAGCTCTCTTTGGCCTTCTCATTCCTAGATGTCTTTTTGCTTTTAGAGCTCGGTGCTACTTGGTGATCCTAAAATCATGGACCCAGGCTCAACTCTTGGAAGGGTATAGGGTATAGGTCCAGGAGCTCCCTCAGCACCAAGAAGTTGCTGGTAGCATCTAGGGGTTTGAGGGACCTGTGTCCCTTAGCCCTTCCCTGGAAGACCTTAGCCTGCATGTAGCTCTGCATCCCTCACTTCTTCCACCCACATCAGAGAGCACAACTTACCTGTTTTTCCATTTTTTGACTCATCACAGCCACAGTTTTCAAAGTCTCCCATGCTACAGTTCTTGGTGATGGTGTACATGACTCCCGCAGAGCTGATGGCATGAATGAAGGAAGTCTCCCTGGTGGCTTTGGAGAGAAAGAGGGGACTGGAAACTTGGACCCTGATGACCCAAAGCAGAGGCTTTGGAAAAGCAATGGTCTCTCTCCCCTGGCCCCTGCCCCTTTTGGGTTTAAGAGGAGGCTCTTCTCCTTGAGAGAACAGGGCATGTCTTTCCAGCACCCTTACGTCTTTCAGGCAGACATGAGTATCCCCATGGGGGTGGGGATAGTAAAACCCAGACAGAAATTGATGGGACCAAGGCCACTCTCCTCACCATTTGTATTGGGACCAAGACCCTGCTCTCCTGAAATCCAGCCTGGCCTTCTGTTCGTTAGCCACTGCTTCTGGTCCTTGGGCTATGAAGACTCAGGGCCATGTAGCTGGCTTAGGAAAGAGAGAAGGGCCTTTTCTTCCTTCTGATATGAAGCAGGAACTATGTATTACTTATAATGACCGTGGCTACCATTTACTGAGCTCGTATCTTACTAAACTCTTTAAAAAACATTGTCCCGTTTCATTTCCACACACTCCCCATTCTGCCTGTATACCCCACGGGAAGATACTTCTCTTCATCCACATCTTCTTTTTTTTTTTTAAAGATTTTATTTATTTATTTGAGAGAGAGAGAGAATGAGAGACAGAGAGCACGAGAGGGAAGAGGGTCAGAGGGAGAAGCAGACTCCCTGCTGAGCAGGGAGCCCGATGCGGGACTCGATCCCGGGACTCCAGGATCATGACCTGAGCCGAAGGCAGTCGCTCAACCAACTGAGCCACCCAGGCGCCCCGTCCACATCTTCTTTACTCCCTTTCCCCACCTCTTCTCAGGCAACTCTCTGTTGTTTGTATATAAATGACCTTTATGTAAACTACTACATACAGTTATAAAGAGCTGAACAGGTGTGCACACGATGACACACACACACGACACAGCTCAATGTGATCTTTCAGCTTCTCTGTTGTTGGGATTTTACGACAGCCGGGCAGATGGGAAACTCCTCAGGGGCTGCAAACACAGAGCCCTTTCCCTGTTTTTATTTCATGCAACTCAGGGCAAGATAAGTGTATACAAACACACAAATATAGGCATGCATTTTAAAAAACAGAGAAATTATTACATTTGTATGGAAATACCTTTGTATTCACCTCCTTCAACCCTTACAGTACTCCTGGTGAGCTAAGTAGAGCTGACCTTATTGACCCAATGACAAAACTGGGGTTGGAGAGAGGATGTAACTCACTCAGGGTTTCACAGCAAGGAAGTGGCAGATCGGCAGATCACTGATACCCTTTCCATTTCACTGTGCATAGAGATGTCATACATGCCACACATACACATACTGAAAGCCCACCTCCATCCACATGTACCCCTTTGTGTAGGTGCACAAACTTACCACTTCTCAGCCTGTTGTGAGTGGAGAGCTGGAGAGCATTTTCCGGGCAGTTCCAGCGTTCCCAAGCAAATTGGAACTTACACTCCTCAATGCCACTGTGGGCTCCCAGGGCCACGCTGGTCGTGTAGGTCAGATAGGCCTGGCAAAGGGAAAAGGGCCATGAAGGTCAGCCCTGGCTCCCCCTCAGGTCATCTGGGGTTGGGGGAGGAGCAGGCAGGACTCAAATGGGTTAGCTCTCCAGGGCAAAACAATTGTGGGTTCCTCTGGGTGGGGGACTTCTGGCGCTGTCTCCCCTCCCCTCCTTTCTTTCGCCAAAAGAGTTCCCTTAGGAACCCGGATGGGTAAAAACAGGAGCCAGAGACCATCCTACCTTGGGACCTGTTACCAGGAAATTGTTCACTGACCTATCAAAAAGAGAAAAAGTGAGGCAGTGGTGAATGGGGCTGAGATAATGGGGGTCGCCTCGGTGGGGAGTGGGGAAGGTGAGGGCAGGGGGAGGACTTACCAGGCGGAGGCAGTGAAGGTGGCATAGCATATGCCCACAGCTACCCTGAGCATAAACAGGTCCCCCATGGCCTTGCTCACCCCCAGGGGACCAGTCCAGCCCAGGGCCAACTCCAGAGAAGTGAGGAGAGGGCAGGGTCTTTCTCAGTATTTATGTGGGGGAAATTCTGAATAGCCAAGGGGGAAAAATCAACAGCTCTTCTCATTTGTCCCTCACTGGCAGGGCTGCAGGAGCCCCTGACCCAATGGGGGACCAGGAAGGAAGGACTCAGCCCAAAGCCTCCAAGGAAAGCCCCGCCCCACCCCGCCCCACCAGCCCTTCTTCCCTCCCAGGCTGACAGAGGGGCTGAAGCCTTTCCCTACCCTTGAGGTTTCTTTCCTCTATAAATCAGACTTGTCTCTTCCTGCTTGGTGGCTCATTTCTCAGAATCTTTTTTTTTTTAAGATTTTATTTATTTGACAGAGAGAGACACAGCGAGAGAGGGAACACAAGCAGTGGGAGTGGGAGAGGGAGAAGCAGGCTTCCCACCAAGCAGGGAGCCCGATGCGGGGCTCGATCCCAGGACCCTGGGATCATGACCTGAGCCGAAGGCAGATGCTTAACGACTGAACCACGCAGGCACCCCATCATTTCTCAGAATCTTGTAGCCTGGAGCAGATGAAGTTCCCAACCCTGAAGGTAGGTCACCAATTCCTCGGAGCTACAGTGTCCTCATCTGTCACTGAGACCTCACTCTGTCCTGCCTTCTTCCCCAAGGCGTTAGTAATTATAGAGGAAGCCTATTTGGGGCACCCCTCCTACTCATTTTACAAAGTAAGTGAATACACCTTTCCTACCTCCTTCCTTGGTGACTATAAAGTCATGGAATCATGGGACCATGGGACAGAAACACTTCAGAGACCATCTCTGTAACAGACCCTTCTACCACATTCTACTAAAGTTAGTTCTGGTAAGTTTCCTTCATGCCTCGTAGGTCTATCATTTTATATGTGAGAATCAACCTTTGGGCCACCCGGGCTGTATATGAAAAAATTAATGCCTTTCTGACACTGCTTTGTTGCCAGGACATCAGCTCCTTAGGCAGGAATCTTTCTTTTCCTTTATTTTTTTGTTATAATTATTATTTTTAAGTAATCTCTACACCCAACTTGGGGCTCGAACTCATGACCCCAAGATCAAGAGTCTCGTGTTCTACCAACTGAGCCAGACAGGAACCCCAGGAATCTCTCCTTTAGGTTCACTTGAGTGCTTGAGAAGATGCCTGCATAAACGAACAAATGAATAAAAGAAATTGTGACCCCTATTAGGGACCCGAGATACCATTTAGGTAGGTTTCAGGACTGCAGTGAAGGGGTGGAGATCTTCCTTGGTTGGTGGAGCTCTTTCCTTGGGTGGGGGCCGGGGAAGGGGAGGCAGCCCAGAGAGACTCAGAAGAAAGTACAAACAGTAGATCACCATCCTGACTCATTACCCTGTGGACGTGGATATCCAGATCATATCCCAGCCCCCCAGGGCCTGACTTGGGTGAGAAAGGGAGCTGAGACATCCCCCCACTGAAGGAGTTCCAGGGGCCAAGGAATCCTCAGACTTTTTTACTTTTTAGAGCAGTGCACTCAAAGTATTGACTAGGATTTGTGTCAGTCTGTAAACTGTTACCTGTTACCTAAGTACAGAAATGAAAGTGTTTAGAAATTTTTATACTAATTTGATATAGTAATTTTATTTTATTTATTTTATTAATTTTTAAAATGCAGTTTTGTTCTGTTTTATTTATTTATTTATTTAAGTCAGCTCCACACCCAGCATGGATGGGCTTGAACTATGCTGGGCTTGAACTCACAACCCTGAGATCAAGACCTGAGCCGAAATCAAGAGTTGGACGTTTAACCAACTGAGCCACTCAGGCGCCCTGATGTAGTAATTTTATTCTTTTATTTTTTATTTTTTAAAGATTCTATTTATTTATTTGACAGAGACAGAGCAAGAGACAGAACACAAGCAGGGGGAGTGGGAGAGGGAGAAGCAGGCTCCCCACTGAGCAGGGAGCCCGATGCAAGACTTGATCCCAGGAGGGCGCCTGGGTGGCTCAGTTGGTTAAGCGACTGCCTTCAGCTCAGGTCATGACCCTGGAGTCCCGGGATCGAGTCCCACATCAGGCTCCCTGCTCAGCAGGGAGTCTGCTTCTCCCTCTGACCCTCTTCCCTCTTGTGCTCTCTACCTCTC